AATCAGCCAAAACAGCCATGGGTAAGAGCATGGAGCAGATGACCCTGGGCTGGTTCATAYCTACAGAGCAATCTACAGAGCAGGTGAACTTTGACTTAGAGATGCAGCTGCAAATCCTTGAATATTTCCTTTCATTTTATTCCTAATCAGGTTTAGGCTGCAATGTAGTGTGAGTTTGGTTTTGTTTTGATTTGAGGACTGCTTTGAATGTTCCCAGTGGGACATGAAAGACAYATTAAGGGTGAATGGGAGTTTTTAGTCACTTCATGCTGCCTAGATATGGAAGAGAAAATGTTCCAGCTTCATGATGTGACTTATGCTTCCTTTACCTGACAGCACTGAACTCCTGCAGAGTTTATGCCTCTGACTGTAATAAAGTCTGCAGGTTTTCTGACTCCAGGCTCCTACCAGTGAAGGAAACCAGTAAGGATCAGAAGAGGTTTTATTCATCATCAAATTCAGTTTGTWGTTATTGAAAGCAATCTCACTAAACTTTTAAAGAGTGGACCAAGCTTTAAGTTAGAAGTAGAGCAGACTTTTTACTCAAATGTTAATTTTAAAAGCTCGTTGAAAACTGTAATATTTTGAATATTCTTTTTTCTTTTTTTTGGGGGGAAGTAAATATTCATCCACATATTTATAGAGATAAATACATCTCTTTAGATAAAATCCAGCACATATCCGTGTGATTCTATACTGAACTAGTTTATATGTCTTTTTTTTTCATGCCAGCATTGTAATTTTTAATTTAAATTGTTTTCCCTTGGCTGTTTCAAAAAATTAAAATATATCTATTGTGCCATAATACAATAAATAGCATTTAGCTGAGGAGTTATTTTTACTGGGTTTACACAAGGTAAATACAGGCTGGAAGTATTTGGGGAAAATAAAAACAACTCTACTTTTTTTTTGTTCTAAAAAAGTAAAGAAACAAAACGTATAAGTTATTAATAGAAATGAATTGTTAGTCAGCCATATTTTGAGTTGGATCCAGATCCAAGACTGATTGATCTGGATTTCTRAAGTTATAATGCAATTCCTGCTAGTTTAGCTTACCAAATACAAAACACTGAAAAAATCACCCAGTAAATAAACTTAATGTATATAATTATGATAGTAAAACATTTATTTTATACATGATCAAGGTATTTTAACTTTTCAATATTTCTTCTGGTATTCCATAATTGGCTTTGGAGGACATAAAGTGCTGGGTGTCATCTGAGGCATATGTTTACCCAAAGTTCTCTTTAGAGTCTGTGGTCATTCTTGGCACCATACTAAAGTGGGTTTGGGCTTCAACCTGACCAATTCTTATGCAATATCTTGAATATATATATGCAAGTAGTCATGTTAACTGAGAGAATAACTTCCTATTTTCTGTTTAGTCCAATCTGCATTTGGCTGAAGGACGATTTGAAAAGAAGGTATCACCTCTTTAAATGCTGTGAGATAAATTTAGATTTAAAGGCATTGTGCCAATTTTGCATTTACAGTTAAAGAATGCTTTAAAAGCCATTGGCAAATTCTGATGGAACTTTCCTGGTGAAACAGTTCCAACTTTAGAAACTTCCATTTTAGGCAATTCAAATGAATTTTATTAGCCTGAATATCCCAACATTTTTTTTTTTTTTCTGGAAAATCTCAGATAAAACSTTGTGCACATAAAACCCTCCTTGGGAATTCAGCATACCAGATAGTTACTGGGTCATCCTGAAGCTGGGAAATGATGTTAAAACTACACTGAAAARGAACAAACAGAGCAAAAATCTCATAAATCTCAACTTTTTTTGCTGAGGGGTTAAGCATCACCAAATGTAAGTTTAAAAGAAGTTGTTTTTTATTACAGCTTTTGTGTGCATATACATGTACATTACTTGTGTGAGAAAGTTTTCTATTTACACCTAAATCACATATAAGTTACAGCTGAATCACATATAACTTATACCTACACCAGGTCCCTTAGGATTACTGAGGAGGTCCTAAGAAAGGCTGAGGGCAATCCCTCTAACACTATCTTGTTTTGTCTGGGATATGGATGAAAAACATCTAGAGGTCTTTTAACCACTCTCTGGTGCAAAGTAGCGCAGACTTGCTTTGGTAGTTTTACTTCTGGTATGCTTCAAGCTATTGTTTTCTACTCCCATCAGATCAATGCATGCATCTGTCAGCCTTCTTATCAATTTGCAAGAGCTTCCTACTTTAGACTGARTTTCCTTTGGTATAAACAGATTTTGCTGCGATGGCTACTGTGACCTTCCTTTGTGATGTAGACACATCAGAACTGAGCAATAACTTCTGCTCAAGAAAGGATCGAAGTTTTTCCACCTCTCCCCTGCCTTTCCACCCCTCCCCTGCCTTTTCAGCAAATATAAATGTGTATCATGTTTCTGATGATTCATCTGCTAGAATTGGAAGAAAGAACTTGACAGTTCACAATATGAGACAAATTATGTACTATATTTCCTCCTTAAGTTTACTTCAAATTTGGTAGATTAAAAAGAAAACATGTAGCCCAAGTGGAAGTGGAAGCTTCAATCTTCTAAATCTTAATTTTAATCTCTAGCAGATAMAAAACTGCACTTAATTTTCCTTACAATCTTCCAGTGTTTAATATGTCTTCAGATAAAGTTAGAAATGCTTGAAATGCTGTTCCTGACAGTGGGTGAGTCATTYCCCAGGTAGCTCAGACACTAACCCTCACCTCAGGATTAGACTGCTGACTGAATCTCTGGTTGYTCCCACTTTTCCTCTTTGATTGGGCCATCTGGTCTCCCTAGCTCTTAGAATGGGGTTGTTCTGGTGACAACATTTCTCTCTTCATCACAAACCCAGTGAAGGCCTAACACGAGGTTCCTTTCAGCCTGRCTACCACACCATTTTCATTTATTTTGTGTGTCTTTTATATGAGGTAAAGAAAGCTGGGAACCTGTCTGCTCTATATCAAGATTTCTATAGGCAGCTCTAAGGTTTCACTGGGGTCAGGTTTGCACATACCAGACAGTTGTCTGCTCTTGCCAGCTGTGTTTGCTATAAGATATTGTGTCTACCTATAAACCTCGCCTTCAGTTACACTGTTCAGTCTGGAYCAGCTCCTGAGCATAGAAAAGCACCAGCTGCTCTCACAAGCTTAATTCTATGTCAAATTCATCTTGGAAACTAGTTTTCACCACYTTCAGCATCTGAAGAAGAAAAAGAGATTGAAGATAAATGGGAATAGGCAAAGAAAAAGATCCCAGAGGTACTGTCTATCAGACAGAATCAAATGCTGTGCAGAAAACAGCWGTGAAGTGGGACAGCTTCTCCCAAGAAGCAGCTCAAAAACTGTGCTCCCTGCTCCTTCAGCTCTGCTTTTAATGATCTTCTGTTCCTACAGCCTCAGTGAACACCTAAAGTCTCCCTCCTTGAGCAGTGGGCTTCAAGAGGAGAGAGCATGATGTTTCTGGCCTGTCACATGCAGGTTGTGATTGTGCCTACAAAMACCCTGTCTGTATCTTCACAAGTGTCAAAAGAACAAGTGTGGAACTGTGGCCATACTGAAGTTGCAGGATGTTCTGCATACATTCAGGACTACAATAAATACATCAGTCAAAGATCACTTTTTCTAACTCTAAAATTTCATAAATACTTTACCATCTGCTTTTAACCAAGAAAATGGACCAGAGGCTGGGGAATGAATACAAACATGATTATAATTCGCATTGAAAACATGAATAATGTACGAATAGTTGTAAATAAGCAGAAAATTTTTGAAATTTCTTTATACTAATGATACATATTTGGATTGAAATAAGGGTTTTATTTGCTAAACCACATTCTATAATTTATGGTGTATCCTAGATTAATAGTCTTCTCTGTATATTTAGACAATGGATCTACTCGCAAACTCAGAAACAAAGAATAGTGCCCGTGTGTGTAGAAGGGACATAGAACAACTTGGAGATGGTGCCTTCTCACCACAGCACTCAGGCAAAAACCAACGAAGCTGAAATCACTCAGAGGCAAAAACTTGCTCATGGGAAGTGGAACACAAACCGTGACTGAAGTTTTAAGCACAGTCTTTCAAACTAGARATTCTGATGCATTTACATTGTTGAGTTTGAGGAGTCTCAGCTAGAGCTGAACACCCCCGGCTGCCTCATGTTGCCCTCACGAGTTCAGTGACACTGGTGGCTGTCCTGSTCCCCGAGGGGGGACCTGAGCCCCTGTCCATGCCCATCACTGCCTGCTGCCCTGCTCCCCTCCCTGTCCCCCCGCTCAGGGTCTCTTCTGCCATGTCACCCACTCCCTGTCCCTCAGGACACACAGGGGGCTCCCTCTGTCCCCGCCAGCCCCCACACGGGCACAAACAGGTGACCTGTTTCCAGCAGGATAAGAGGATACACAGTCTTAAACTGAGCCAGGGGAAGTTCAGGTTGRACATTAAGAAGAAATTCTTCACAGAAAGGGTGAGTAGATATTGGAATGTGCTGCCCCGGGAGGTGCTGGAGTCACCGTTCCTGCAAGTGTTTAAGGAAAGACGACGTGGTACTTAGTGCCATGGTCTAGTTGCCATGGTGGTGTTCGGTCATGGGCTGGACTCGGTGATCTCGGAAGTCTTTCCGTGCCTGAACAATTCCGCGATTCTGTGAAACCCACCTGGCTGCTAAATCCAGCCCCGCCCCCTGGCTCATCCAGCCCCGCCTGTCCCACTCGCCTGCCTGCTCTGGCCCCGGTCCGCAATGACCACGCTCCCCCCGCTCCTCCACTCTCCTCCCGCCTCTCCCGCCTCTCCACGCTCCTCCCTTTAGCCCCGCCCCTGGGCGTGGTGTCAAACCCCTGGTTACCGCTAAGCCACGCCCCCCGCGTGACCCCGCCCCCATCCTTCTCCCGCCCCTCCCAGGGTCGCTGCGCGGTGACGCAGCAGGAGGAGCTGAGGCGGCGCTTCCCGCCCTTCCTCCTCCTCCTCCTCCTCCTCCGCTCCCGCCGGACGGGGACAGAGCGGCGGAGCCGGGGTCCCTCAGCTGCCGCCGGGGCCTGGGGGAACAGCCGGGCTGCCTCCGGCCATGGTGGCCCGCTCGCCGGCGGAGGGGCAGGAGCAGGCAGGGCGGCGGCGGCCGCCATTGCTCGCGGGGGCCGCGGTACTATGAAGGATGGAAGCGGACGAGGTGACGATCCGGGAGCAGAACTTCCACAGCCAAGTGCGGGAGTACACGGTAAGGTGCCGCCGTCCCCCTCGGACCTCCTCGACCTGTCACTGCTCTCCACCCCAGCCCCGTCCCCGGGTACCTGGGGGTTGTCCCGCTCCCTCCCTCTGTCYTTGCCTGCCCCTCGCCCCAGTGCCCGAAGGGACTCGGGGACTTGTCCCGGGTGGGCACAGMGGTGCGTGCACCTCCCCTGAGGTRCCACGGGGGCTGGAGGATCCCAGCGCTGAGCTCCTGGAGGGCTTTCCTCTCCTTGTGCCTTCAGCGAAAAGGGGAGATGCTGTGTGTGCTTGCGGGGCATGGGTGTGCTCCATAGGGGTGCTTTCGGAACAGGTACTGGTGCACCAACCTCGTGGGCAGTGCTCAACTTCGGTAAGAGATGACTGAGAGCGGATATMGTTAATGTGTATAAGTATCTAAAAAGGAGATGTCACGAGGATGCACCAGTCTTTGCTCCGTGGTGCCAGCCACCAGGACATGAGGCATTAGAGAAACTGATGCACAGGAAGCTCCACCTGAACCTGAGGCAGAGTTTCTTTRCTGTGCAGTTGATAATGSACTAGAACAGATTGCCCAGAGAGGGAGTCTCCCATACTGAACGTATTCAAGAACGTCTGGATGCAATCCTGTCCCATGTGCTCTGGGATGACCCTGTTTRAKCAGGGGGAKCGGACCAGGTGACCCACTGTGGTCCCTTCTAACTGTAAGCCATTGTKGGATTATGTAAACACCTCAGCTTCAGGTGCAGCCTTGTTCTCTAGGTGTGCATGGAATTTTGTTGTATGTCATACCCGTTGTCATACTGGGGTCCTCCTACCTTTTTGGTGCTATTTGCAGTGGCTGTGTGTAACCTATGTGTTTTCCCTGACTCTACCACTCTCCCAGTGGAGCACATGGCAGTGTCTGTGCTGTCCCAGCTCCCTCAGTGCTCCATAGGCAGGTGCAGCACAACACCCTGYGTGCAGACAGAGCAGTTGCAGTTTCCTCTCTGACAGCCTCATAATTGTTTTCAGGACTATTCAAAGCTGATGAAGGTGTTTTGAATGGGGCTTAGTCTCTCCTACTTCAATTCCAGGAAGGAAATACATGCTGCACATGGGAGACATGCAGCAYTTGTGTCCTGTGGACATGCTGTCCCAGCTCAGCCAGGGAATCGTGTTTTCTTTGCTGTCACTGTTGTCTGAGAACAAAATGGATTTCTCTAATTAAAATTTGATTTCATAATTTAGCTTTAAGTATTTTTCAAACTTATTGGGAGACTCTAAAATACCACTGTTAACTGATTTATGTAGGGCTGTGGCTAGGTCACTTGATAGCAGAGACTTACTTGGAATGTGTTAATTCCTCTTCTATATTTTRTGAATCCATGTTAAGACCTTTCTTGTGGTGAGATACTCTACTTCTGGGATGGTTTTTTTTCTGAAGAGTGTAAAACAAGCTTGTATGAAGAGAACAGTTGCTTTAAGAGATTTTTTGGAATGGATGTAGTTTATGTCCTGGGAGCCATGACTAGTGGAGGAGAGCAAAAAGTAAAATACTTTTTTTGTAAAGAAGGCTCAAAGTGTTATCTTAATCACCTTTGGTGTATGTACAAATCTTTTCTCTTTTCCCTCATGTCTGTTTTTCCATTTGTATTTCATTGTGTGCTAATCATCTACTTATTTTTACCAGTCTTGTTCTGATAAATCGGATGCCACCTATTGTGGTTTCATTCAGGAGGAAGCACAGATTTTTGAGTCTGAAGGAAAGGCTGTGCACAGACTCTCTGGTTACTGTTACAGATAGTGAAGGTCTATTAAAGTCTTAAAGAAGTAACTCATCTGTACTGCAGCTATTCCTCTAAAGTTAGAGGGACTTTTTCAGTTGCTCTAGAACACTTGATAAGTCTTTCTATTGGTGTAGTCATGTAAGAAATCACATAGGACATCMGTAACTCATAGAGGTGCAGTGTTGTTTTGTTTGCACAGTGAAGGCAGAATATTCTTGCACTTGAAACTTGGCTTTGATCTTAACATGGATCACAAGCTACCTTTATTATTGTTTAATCAGTGGGAATAATAATAACAATGTTGCCTTTAAAATCATACATCGGTAGAGTTGTGATGGTGTCTTTAATTTATGTTGGAACACCACAGGTCTTTATGAGTGCATAAAGGGCAGCTGCTTTATTCAGCACCAGCTGAGTGTACAGCCTCCCGTGGCTCCCACGTGGCTGCAGGAGAATACTGCAAGCATGAGTACTTGCACTTGTGGTTAGTCTGAGCATGCTGGAGCGCACAGAGTATGTTGCTTAGATGTGCAATTATGTTAACATCCTCTCCTTACCATTCCTGTTCTTGCTGCTCATGARGTTACATGGTGAATAGAATTTCTTAAAATATGCAAATAAACAGTTGTTGTGGGGGCAGTGGGTATAGTCATCAGCCCCTCAGCTGGAGCAGGGAACGTATTCCACTCTGACACATGCATGAAACCTTGCTTCCAGCTGCAGGTGGGCTGGGGGCAGTGGAGCAGTTAATAGAAGCATTTGATATTACAAGAGRTGGTGGCTTTAAACTGGGATAGTCTAGGTTTAGATTAGTTATTTGGAAAAAAATACTTTACTGTGAGGGCAGTGAGGCACTGGCGCAGGTTGTCCAGAGAAGCTGTGGATGCCCCATTCCTGTCAGTGTTCAAGGACAGGCTGGATGGAGCTTTGAGCAACCTGGTCTGGTGAAAGGTGTCCCTGACTATGGCTGGGGTTTRGAGCTAGATGATCTTTAAGGTCYYTTCCTACCCAAACCATTCCATTCCAATTTRTTGTGGAATATTACAGTGGAAGAGACCTCTGTGCCTGCAAGGAGCAGGAGAAATTTATGTTTTCTGTTAGAAGTATCTTTGGAGAGCTRGTTGCATGGCACAGTCTTTACTGGAAGCTAAAATGATACGTTCATGAGCAAAGAGAAATAAAAGTAAGCTGATGTAGTTGAAAAGAAAATCCTTTTCACTTTTCTCTTACAAATTTTCTTTGAATACATACAGAATTTCTATATTGTGCTTTCTGATGGGATTCTAAGGGCACACTGAGTTTAGCTTCAGTGTAATGCATCATTTCTGTTTCATCTGTTCTCCGAACTGGCATGCTACAAAGTTTTCCATAAAGTTGTGTCACATAAAAAAAATTCAAGGCTTGTTATGCTTTTGCTGGTGGTGCCTGTCTCTTTCTGCAGGTGCCAACTTCTGCTAATTCCACCTTCAAAAGACAAGTATTTCTGACACATGTTTATAGATTGAGCAAGGGTAGTAAAAGATTATTTTTTTAAAAAGAAATCCTTCATCTSCTTTTGAGGTGACTCAGTGGTTTAATGCTTAATTTAACTCAGGCCCGTTTGGTCTTGACCTCATTTGGAGTATCTGTATGGCACCTTGTTTTTCAAAAGGGTGCCTGTTTGCAACAAAATCATCTGCCTTGGATTTTGTTGCTTCATGAGGATAATCTTTGCTGCTTGAAGGTGGTTAACTCCCTAGTTAGGCATGGCTATAATTTTGGCATGGCTCTTCAAACATGAATCTGCTCTACAGAGTATCTGTTGTTCTGAACATTTGTTGAAAACACCCAGACTCAGACTGGTCTGAACTTTAAAATTCAGATGGAGTGAAGTAAATGTGGAGACTGTGAACTGGTGACCCAGTGTAAGAAGTGTGGCACAGAAGTTTGCTTGAAGTCATGAGATCCTTAACTTCAACAAAGCCAGAGTCATCTTCAGTTCTGGMTGAAAGGGGCATGTTTCTGAAAAGCAGCTTTAGTTGATTGCAAAATACAGAAAAGKGTTTGTGTTCTGTACTTGATCAGTATTCATGTGAAAGGGTTGTAAAGGCAGGACAATGTTCTGTTAGTTTGCCTTTCTTGGTCCTTTAGATAATTTACAGTTTGCTGAGATCTTGCACATCCATGGAAGATATTTGAGCTTTTAGGGAACTTCTTTTCCCTTGTGTCCGGTTATTGTGTCTGTTTATAAAGTGTTCCATGTTCCTCTGGTATTGTTGTGAACTGTTAATTTCAAATGGAAATGGAGCAAGTGCAATGGTTCAGTCTCTTTGTGGTCCCCTGGGTTTACTTTTTAGAATATTGTTACCTTCCCTTTTTTTTCCAGTTTGGGTCTTCTATTCTGCAGTATTAGCTTGTATTTTTAAAAGTTAAACCTACATATTTTGTTATTTTTCTACTTAAGAACTGTAGGATTTTGAGTATGTAAAAATATGCATGTATACTTGGTTATGAGGGTTCCTTGGCAAAATAATTATGCTGTGCTTGCATTTGTAGTGTGGGAAAAACTGTGGAAGAAAACAATAGAACTACTAGAGTGTATTATTAGAACCACAGAACTATTAGTTAGGAGCTTAAGAATAAATATAGTATATTTGGAGATAGGTTTATTATATTAAATATGTAATTAAAAAATCAGTCCTGGTAAAATAAGTTTAAATACAAATTGCTATTATAACTTTTAAGTGTTTCATGCAAGTTCTGGCAGATATTGAAACTGGTGTAATATGGAGTTTTATGTTAAATGTGATATGCTTCCAGTTGAACGACTAAATATTTCAGGGGTGCTGATGCTACATATTCTGAGAAACTTAGTTTCTCTACTTCTATTAATTCCCTCTACAAAAAGGCTTTTTCTTTAACCATACAACTTCAAAATATTAAGTTCTTTTTTTTGAGGGGGTCAGGTGGTTATTTTGTGTATGTAATTCTGAATCTAATTTTCAGCAAATTAGGAAGGTGTTTTTAGGTAGCTATAACTGTCTCATGTCTTTGGTTTTATTTTTTTTTTTTGTGGTTTTTTTTTTTCCCAATTTCACACTAATACATCTGGCTTTGTTTTCTTAGCTGATTTCTTTTTGTACCTTTGGTCCTCTCATTCTGTTTCAGAGTAGCTGATGTTCAGGATTCTTGTATRTGAACTAGTTCAGTGTGGCTGCTGCTGGCATTTGTCCTCTGTGAAGCTGTAAAATGAGGGAGCTGGTTT